GCCCACCCAGCCAGGATGAGACCTCTGGTAGAACTAGAGAAGAAATCCTGGGGAATGCTGGGCACTTGGGGTGGTTGGATGGGTCTCCCAGAGATGGTGGCAGTAATTAGTTGCCTGGGTTTTGTAAAAAGAGACAGGGAAAGTCTGCTGGGACTCTGGCCAAGTGAAACAGTTTAGGGAGAAGGTAAATCACTGCCTTGCCTCCCTTCTTCTGCAGCAAGGGTTTGCTCCAACTCTGAGAGGCAAGAGTTAATCCTGGTCTTCTGGAGCTGAAGATGAGAAAGGGAGATTGCCCGCTGGTTTATGAACCTCTCGGGAGACAGCTTGGCTGTAAACTCCCCAGCTGCAGGGCAGCTTCTGAAGTCTGCTCAGCAGGCTGGAGAGACGGAGGTCCTTGGAGAAGAGGAGCTGTTGCTTACTCACAGCTTGGTCAGGAATCTGGTGGGTCATCCCAGGGAGTCTGGTGCACATGAGTTGTGCAAGGGGGGAGGAAAGAGAGGGTCTGAACTAAGCCCTGGTGTAGGTCCTGAACTGCTGTGGGATGGAAACCCAGCCTGAATTCTGATGATGCATAATTTTTTCTTAGTTTAATCTGGGAACTCATAAGAGTGCCTGTGCTGGGTCAAACCAGAAGTCCTCCTCACCTGGGATCTGCTCTCCAGCTGTGTCTGTGCCTCTGTGCACAGCTGGCAGAGCCCCCCCAGGGGTGTTCAGGGGGTCCTGGAGAATCAGAGACATCCTGGGAGGAGGCTGTCAGGACTGTGCCAGCCTCATGGTGCCGGGGGCCCACCTGCTGCCTCCTCCACCTGCTCCAGGGAAGGAGAGATGTCCTGAATCCAAATAAGCACCAAAGAATTTCCTATCTGAACAGTGGTGATCATGCTTTTTACTTGATATCACTTCACACTGTTTTTGATAAACTCCACAGACTGACCTTGCCATGATTTAATAACAAGTGAACTTCATACGTTATACGGGAGTTACAGTGAAAGTGGCTTCTGAGTATGTTTTGCAAAGTTTAATGATTCTTTCTATTATGTTTTATTGAAAAGAAAGACTTTTAGGTGTAGTTTGCAAAGGATGTCTCTCAATGTCAAACACTCTGCTTCCAACAGCACGACCCCATCCATGTTTTTCCTGGGCTGCAGGATATGCACCCCTGGATTTCCATCCCATTCAGTGTTCACCATAGCCCTCCTTGGGAACAGCACCTTCTTGTACGTGATGAAGACGGACACATGTCCCTGCAAGCCCATGTTTTATTTCCTCTCCATGCTGGCTGTCATTGACTTGGTGCTGTTCCTGACCACCATGTCCAAAATGCTGAGTATTTTCTGGTTCAGTGCCCAGGAGATCACCTTCAATGCCTGCCTTCTGCAGATGTTTTTTTCTTCCCACTTTCTCAGTCATGGAGTCCGTGGAGCTGCTGGCCATGGCTTTCAACAAATATGTTGCCATCTGCGACCCTCTGAGCTACAAGCTCCGACCTGACCATCTCGCTGGTGGTCAAGAATGGGCTGCTGGCTCTAGCCAGGGCAGCCGGGCTCATGTTGCCTCTGCCTTTTCTCCTCCATCGCCTGCTATACTGCTGCTCCCGCATCATCTCCCACTGCTACTGCAAACACATGGCAGTGGTGGAGCTGGCCTGTGCCAACACCAGGTTCAGTAACATCATCATGGTTCTCTTCATTGTGGGGTTGGGTCAGTTGTTCATCGAGCTCTCCTAACCTCAGGATCTTGAGGACTGTGTTGAGCCTGGCATTGAAGCAGGACAGACTGAGGGTATTTGGGACCTGCCTCTCCTACATCTCTGTCATCCTGGTCTTTTACACCCCTGTGGTTCTTTCATCAGTAATCCACAGGTTTGGTTGCCATGTTGCCTCACACAAGTACATCTTGATGGTTAATTTCCACCTCCCATTCTCCCCCATGGTGTATGGTGTCAAAACCAAGCAGATCCATGACCAGGTGCTCATTGCATTTTTCTCTCCAGAGAATCTAAATTCTTGAACATCCCATCCACAGGTGTATGTATGGATATCCATACAACTGCACATGGATTGGCCACAGAAATTAACCCTGGACACATAACCCTGGAGCAAGTGCATGATCCACTTTAAACAACTCCCATCTCTTCTCCTGAATTTTTCCAAGTTTAAGACTTGAGAATTGTGAGAGGATTGTACATACGTGCTGAAAATGGTAACATTTCAGCTCATCACTGCCTGCAGCAAGCAGCAAAGTCTGCTTGGCAGACTGAGGAAGGTGCTAAATCCAGAGGTCAGCCTATGTAGAACTGGAAAATTTTCAGAGTATTCAGCTTTGGCATCACTGTGCTGGTAGTGAGCTGGAGGTAAATAACACTCTTGTTTGAGTTCCACAGGCTGCATTTCTTCTCTTTTTGTGTGCTAAGGAAATGAGCTGGTGGCCTGCAGGTCCTTTCCAAAGAGCTGCTGATGCTGCTGGACCTTTTAACTAAAGTGAGTGCAGAAAGAGGGGCCAAAGCATCTTGTGTTGGCAGGCAGCTGGGAGGGGAGTGAGGTTCGAGGGGCTGACCCTCACTGCCAGGAGAGGGGGTGGGTGCTGAGTGATGCCCACTCCTTGGGCACATGGCACTGGCACAGGCACAAACCAGCCCGGAGCCCCACACCTGCTTCCAGCCTCTTGGCTAGACATGCAATGGCCGATGACGCATCTGCCTGGAGGAGGGTTGCTCCCATTTTCCAGAATGAGCTCTGAGGACAGTCTCAGTAAGGGTAAGGTTAAACCTGCTGCATGCAGCTTATCCCCCCTCAATAGCAAAGGTTATCCCCTTCCTCCACCCCCGTATGCACTGGGGGGCTCGGGGGACCAGCTCCCAGAATCATGGGGAAGAGCACAAACACCTGTAAGCACTGTGTTTTTTAGCTGTCTTTTCAGTCGTGATCGTCCTCATATGACTTAGACGTGATTTCTGTTGCCTGATTTATTTTTTTATGTGCTAGGCTGCTGTAGATCTGATTCATAGATCAGTGCTGCAAATACAGCACAAAAAAAGAAAGAAATCTGTAATATTGCTGCTGAATTAATGTATCTACTTCCTTTATTTTCTCCAAGTCTTAGAATAAGAAATGTGTTTTGCTGTATAGCTGGCATATTTATAAATCTGGACTATTACAAAAGGAGATTGCTGTTCACAGTGTCAAATTTATGTAGCACGAGAACAAAGTCTGGCCTATTTACTAGTGTATCTGTAGCTGTTGCATCCCTGACCCGGCTTTTGCAATTGCAGCCCAGCAGGTAAGAAATCCCCACATCCAGCAAGCTCATGTTGTATGTGGTGGCTTGTCGCCTGCACTACCATGAGGGTCACAGGATCTTGTGGGGTCTCTGTTTGCTTCCCCCAGGCTGTCCTCAGCAGTTCTTCTTCTACTGATCAGAGATCTAGGGAAGGATGTGAATTGGGATGTTATGAAGCTTTTTATGAAACCACTATACCCAAAGTAGTAGAGATGAGGGATTATGGGAGAACTTTGCAAAGCTGAATGATGAAGAGAGAAACTGGACAGTAAAATTCAGTATAGGTTCATTAAAACTGAGGTGCTCTGGCAAAACACAGCCCTATTTTTGCATAGACAATGTACTATGAGCTGTCCATCCCCACTCAGATATAGGCATCTTGGAGTTATGACTGACGACTCCTTGAAAACATCAGTGGCACCCAGTCACTTCTTCACTCCAGACTCCTCCTTGTTGTAAGGAGGTGATAACCTCCTTGTTTTCTCCACAGGTTTCACTCAGTCCCCTTGAGGTGATGGCTGGCGCAGGTCAGGGTCAGTACACAGCGGTTTCTCTCTGCCACTCCTTCCTTCTCGCTCATTCCCAATGCTCCAGCATGGGCTGACCCACAGGCTGCATTCCTGTTGGGGGTGTACCTGCTCCACTGTGGGTCCTTCATGGGCCACAGTCCCTTTGGTGTCTATCTGCTCTGGCATGGGCTTATTCATGGGCTGCAGTCCCTTCAGGGGTGTACCCGCTCTGGTGTGGGTGCTCCACGGCCCACGGCCCTTCGATGGGAGTGCTTCTACCACCATGGAGCACCTCCTACTGCTCTGACCTTGGTGTTCCCCTTGCTGTTTCTCACTCTTTTTGTTCACTCCTCCTCTCTCAGTTGGATGTTTTCTGCCCTTTTTTAAATATGTTTTCACAGAGGCACCACAAACTGCCCCGGCTGGCTCAGCTTTGGTGCATGATGCGTCTGTGACTGATCCAGCTGGAAACATCTGTGTCCAGCACAGGGCAGCCTGGGACTTCCCTCCTGGCCACCCTCGCAGCCCCCTCCACTACCCAAACCTTACCACCTACACCCAATACGCCTCCCCACAAATATCTTGAGCTGTTGTTTACAAATATTGTTTTGCTTTGTGCCATATGGATAATGAGTTAATTTGTTCCTAATTCAGGAAATGAAGCTCTTAATCAGATTTGTGCTAGAAATTTCTGCTTCCACAAAGTGGTATTTATCCGTTCCTTCCAAAAATAGTTTTCTAAATTATAGGCAGTGAATAAATGCAAGAAAAAGAAGATACAGTGAAAAAGTTGATATTAGATGAAAGTGGTTTATACTGTCTGTCTGCCCCAGTGCCTTTCTGGGACGCACTCAGATACACTGCCAGGAAAGGAACAAGTCCCAGTTAACTCCTGAAGGGCTCTGACTGCATCCATAAAGCCATCAACCTGCCCAGCTTGTGTAGGCTTTTACTACAGTACTAGTGCTTGCTGCACAAAGTATATTTGCTCTACAATTTGCAGTCATAAATTATTGTTATTTGTGTTGTGATAGTGACTGAGAGCCTGCCAAGGGTCAAGGCAGCATGCTGCATAGTCAAAGAAGAGGAGCACATTCCCATTCCCCAAAGCTGAGTCAAGGAAAGTCAAGAGCTGGGTGCAGTTCAATGGGCAGTTCTGTCACCGGAAATTTTAATTGAAATCAGGATCCTCTGTGTCTGCTTGGTCCTCACCCCGCAGATGATGGGGTTGAGCACAGCGGGCACCAGGATGTAGATGTTCCCCAACCTGTGCACCACAGACAGCCCAACCAGGGGCACGTAGAAGGCCAGGACCACGCAGATATGGCCAACGCAAGTGCTGAACACCTTAAGCCTCTCCTTCCACGATGCCAGCTGCGAGACAGCCTTGAGGATCAGGATGTAGGAGAGGCAGATGAGGATGGCGTCCACCCCCACGACCAGCAGGACGGCGGTGAGGCCGTACACCACGCTGGGGGGGGGGTTGGCGCAGGCCAGGTTGATCACTCCTGGTGCAGGCAGAAGGAGTGTGACAGCACCCGGGAGCTGCAGAAGGGAAGGGGCAGAGCAGGACTTGGTTCTGTCTCTCTGGAGCCAGGTGGTGTTCTGGCAGTCCTAGAATATTAAGTGTGTTTATTTTTTCATACTGAAATTATGTTACCAGCATGAGAGCTGCACTGTAGTACCACCAGAGCAGTGCTTTTATAGTGTGAAACGGGCGTACATGTTATCCAGAGTCACAGAGTCACTGAGGCTGTCAGGGAGCTCTGGAGACCATCCTGGCCAACGCCTCTGCTCAGGCAGTGTCACCCAGAGCAGGTTGCCCAGTACCGTGCACACCCGGGTTTTATGTATCTCCAAGGATGGAGACCCTACAGCCTCTCTGGGCAACCTGTGCCAGTGTTTGATTAACCTTATCTTAAAAAAAAAAAAATTTGTTATGTTTAATTGGAATTTCCTGTTTCTTCTAGTTTGTGCCCATTGCCTCTTGTCCTTTCACTGGATACCACTGAGAAGAATGTGGCTTTGTCTTTGTTACTCCATCCCATCAGGTATTTATATACATTAAAAAGGTGCACTCATGCACGAATCTCTTTGCCAAAGAAAATGCCCCTTCAACAGAGACGATGCCTCCCTCAAGGTGCTTGGACTCAAAAAAGACAATAGTTTGCATTGGTAACTATTCATACAGTATTGATACAGCCTATGGGACCACCAGCAGGTCAGCATTACTCTGTGGGTTATTTATTATTTACCTTAGAAGCAACCGGGATGAGTCGGTCACCAGGACTACTTCATGTTCTAGTCATGCCCTTTGCTGTCCCCTCCCTAAATGCTGTTTGGGGCACAGAGTTGGGTCCCCGCTGCTGTGCCCTGGAGGAACATCACTGATGTGGAGCCCAGACCCACTGCACCGGTGTGGGGCAGTGGGTGCATGCCTGGTTTTGAGGACTCATAGAGTTAAAAGGCAGATGGAAGTGTGGGTGGGGTGAGAGGGGTAACCACGTGCCACACTGCTCACCCTGTGTTGCTGCACCCTGCAAGTTACAGGTGCAAATCATAACCATGGTCAAGGCTGGGAAGGAGCAGGCTCATGCTCTTGCCTGATCCCATTTCAAAGCAAAAGAGGGATTATAGAAACGCTTGAGAATAAAGCATAAGAGCTCTCAAAAAAATTAATTTCTGAATGTCTACTGAATAGAAATACAGATGCAACACACCATTGGGGAAAATGGAGAAGGTTTCAGTTTTAACACTTTATTTAAACCACATGTATTTAAATCCATTCAGCTCACTGCTGCGAGATAGTGCAGATGATGTGCCCTGCTTAGGAACCAGTGTGTGCAGTAAGAACATGCACATCAGTGGGCGAAAAGTAAGAGCCGCCATCTCTTTGTGCTTCAAACTGTGCAGCTGTGAGGGGAAAGGAGAGATCTGAGGGTTAAAGGCACTGACTGTGGCTTAGGCAAACTGGAGTTGCAGAACTGGTTTAGTTGCAAAAGGGCTGGAGACGCTGACATTCCTGGCGGTTGAAAGTGCAAAGCAGGGTCTGCTCGGAGTGTTGAGACAACGGCAATGGGGACAGTGACGTGGGTTTCAAAAGAAATTCCAGCCTGGTCATCTTTGAAAATAACTGTCCTTAATGAGACATCACCTAGGTACTAATGGTGACCTGCTCCCTGTAACCCACCTGAGCAATTCCTTCTGCTTTTCTGTCCTGTGCCATTGCCCTGCAATGATGAGGGGGTGATTCACCTAGACTTCCCTCAATAGTCCTGCTTTGGACCGCAGATGAAACATCACAAACCGCCTGAAGATGTTATTGCTCCTTCATCCTTTTTACACAGTGAACAAGCTCCCAACTTCTCTTATCAGTGAGGATCCCCGCTAGGACCCCCTCACTCCTCCACACGTCTCAGCCCCAAACACTTCTCTGCCATTACACCCTGCCCTGCCCCATGCAGAGCATCCTCCACATTCACCTTCCCCTGGTGTCCCAACCAGGCCGGGCCTGTGGCCCAGGCTAAGGACAGACCTACAGAGAAGTGCTCTATACTTCACCCATGCACATCACAGTGGGCCACAATAAATAATTTTAAAAATAAAAAACTACTTCCCAGTTTTTTGGCTTTGCCTCTTTGCAGTCTTTTAAGCATCCAGCCCAGGACACGGAGGCACTTTTCCTCCTGAGACAACAAGGACACAAACACCAGTCCCACCATGGTCATCCCTCAAGTGGTTAAAATTGACTTGTACTGCAGGAGGCTGTGGTTTGCCGCAAAGCTGCCGAGGGCCATCAGCAGCAACATAGGCATCTCCATGAGCAACAGTGAGTCGGTGAGTGGATGGAGAAGATTCGAGGGAAACAAGCAGTGCAACTGATTTCCCTGTACTTAAACCAGAATATGCCCAGCACAATACGTCCTGAAGACAGACAGTTAGAACGATGGACAACATGGCCAAGAAATAGTGCAGGAGCTTCAGTCCTGTCTTGCCTCATAAAAATGAGGAGGCATTGCCATGACTTACAGTGAAACAGATAGAGCAGAGTTGAGAAGTTTCCAACCCCGGGAAACGTCTTGGGGGAAAATTGCAGCCCTGAAGCTGATGTTCTTGAATGCAGATTTGCTTGAGCTCCTAAGCCTTGAAGTGGAGTATTGCATTTATCAACTATGCTCTTATGACGGGCAACAAGAATTTAGAAGCAAGGATGAAGCACAGAGAAGCATCAGTGTACCCTGCGTTGAATTCCTGGCTCAGGCTCAGCCCTATGTCACTGAAGCCAGTGGAAATATTTGCACTGACTCTAGCAGGAAAGGAAAAGGGCCTCTCTATTTCAAATTCCCAGTACAATCCTTGAGTAACTTACACTGTTACCACTTCCAATAGTATTCGCAGACTCGTACCCCATTGTGCTGGGCGGTGAGCAGTTTCCACAGCTGAAAACGTCGACACTCCCGAAGGTCTCCTGGTAGGGTCTGTCACAGACACAGACACGTGGTGATTGGGGAGGAAGGAGGTGGTGGTAAATGTTTTGCCCCATTGCAAGCAAACATGTTATCTTACACAGAACAGAAGTCTCAGGAAAGGATAAGGACTGTAAATTTAATTTCCAGGGGATTTTGAAGGTAAGGGTAAAAAATTGCCTTGCCAAGTGCAAAGTGAGTGTGTTTCTGCTTAGTCTAAATTCTGTAGCTTTTCTGTTCATAGCATGGTTTGTCTCCCATCCCTGTGCTCTCAGTTAGGGCACAAGGTATGTTATGGCAACAACAGGAAAATTTCAAGCTGGTAAATACATTCACAAAATGCCATCTGGGAACAGTTTCTTTCCTCCCACAGTCCTGACAAAGACCCCACCTGACAAGCAAAGCAGTCAGAGCCTTTCTCAGGGTACTTTGCATCATATGAGCTGCAGAAAGCATTGGAGAGACCGCTCTAAGCTCCAGAAAACGTTGAGAACTTCTGCTTGGCTTCAGGTTTGCTTGCTGTGAGCTGAGCTACGTCATGTCTGAAAGGTAACACAGCCCCTGAGGAATGACCGTGCCCGTCTGACACCCACAGCTTGTTAAGCTGCAGCAACTCGGTGTCTGAGCTCAGGCTCCTGGTGTTTGGAGACGATTTGGGGTAAGTCTAGGAACAAATCCTGACAATCACAAAAAGCACAGTGCTGCAGATGGTAGAGGGAACCTCAGACAAAACCAGATTGCGGGAGCACAGAGAGGTCATGCGTCCACGATGGAGGAGATCTTGGACACCAAAACCCAACAGCTTCCCAAGGCACCCACAGGCCTGCACTTCTCACCGCAGAACTGTCCCGGCCAGGCTCAGTGCTGCCGACACGGACAAGCCACAGGCTGCCCTGTTTTATAGGACATCCTGATGTGTCCCCCGGGGCACAGCACCATGCTGGAGGAACTCAGCTGCTCCAGGTGATTTTGTCTGTGCACGCAGCTCTGCACCGTGAAATGATTCTTGGTCTTCTCCCCACCACACCAAAATATTCACCTCCTGGACAGGCTCCTTGAGTCCCAGGAGAGAAAAGAGGCTGAGCTGCCTGGCTCAAAGGGTCGTGATCAGTGGCACAAGGTCCAGCTGGAGGCCAGGCACTAGTGTGACTAGTGAGTCACTAGTACTGTTTAACCACTTCATTAATGACCCAGATGATGGGGCAGAGTGCACCCTCAGCAAGCCTACAGATGACACAAAACCGGCGGGGGGTGGCTGATTGTGCCCCTTAATTCTCCTCCAGCGTCCTGGTATTTTCATTTCAGGAGGGGGCTAGTCTGCTTTAGGCAGCCCTCAGCCATCCCTCTTCAAAACTCTTCCAATCTCCTTTCGAACTCATGTAAATAATTTGGATCCACAGCAGCCTTCAGCAAGGAGTTCCTCTGATCCTCTCATCCGCAGCCCGGACAGGGATGAGATCAGACCACTCCATGCTCTTCTCCTCTCCCTCCTCGCCTGAGGCTGTCACAGCCTTCTACAAGGACGCTGACCGAAGGGTGAGGGAACATACACAGCCCCAGTCTGTACCCCAGCAGTGGTGGGGAACAGGCAGCTGGAGGCTCCCCGCAGCCGTGGACAGAGGGAGCACCCCACCACCCTCCATTTCTGTACCCGCCACCCACCATCTCTATGTGAAACTCATCACAGAACCAAAAAAATTCTCAAAATAAAGTTTCTCATTATGAATCCATTGGCTGGTTCTTTTGGTTTGTGCTCTTTTTTGGGAACCCTTTGGGGATTTTTCTTACTGTCCTTGTTTCCTTTATTTATTCCTGTATTTAACCTATCTACCTGTCTACATGCGATACACACACATATACAAATATACATATGTAATGTGTACCTATGTACAAATTGGGGAGCTGCACAGAGGCACCCGGAGGGGTGGAAGGCACTGGGGCTGGTTCTCTTCGCTTTCCACAATGCAAAAGTTTCACAGAGCAGGGCAAAACTGGGGAATTTTCTGAATACACATTTTTTGCCATTTTTTTTTTTACAGCCAGTGCCCCACGGCTGCCTTCACTCCCATTTTTGCACTCTGCCATTTTTTCAGAGAAGAGAGGAAATACCAGTATGCAGTCCCGTGGCGCTCGTAGCCCCTGAAGAGCACAGAAATCAGCTGCGACTCCCTGGGTGAGACCCATGGGGTTTGCTCTAGCTGGGTTAAATGCGGCTTTCCAGCCCTCTGCCCAGTGCCCACCTGCAGCAGTGTGAGCAGCCAGGGCTGCTCCTGGTCCCCTGCTGTCCTCTGCTGTCACCCGGGGTCAGTACGGGGTGGGCTGCCTGAAGATGACGGAATAGAGATGGTCTTCCTCTGCAAGGACTATTGGTTTGAGGGCTTGCATTAAAACATGAATTTACAAAAGTCTCTGGCAGAAACAATAAACCAGCATATTAGAAAAGCGCTAGGAGCAAATTGCTTTACTAAATATTAGTTCTGATCTCATATATACAGATGGACTTGATATGAAAAGCCACCCTAAAAATCGACCTTGGTCAATAATTAAAAATCTCCCTCATTCTCTCAAGTGCTACACGAATAGGACATGTAAGTTTATTTCTACAATGCCTTTGCTCCCCAGAGGAGCCAAGGGAGGTCTTCAGCTCCTCGGATTTAGGTTCTTTACACCCTCAGTTACCTCTTTTGCTGCCCCAGTTTCAGAGACCTTTTTTTCCTCATCCCAGGGGCAGTGAGCTTTAACTTCTGTTCCCTAATTGGGGAAGTGGGTGTTTGACAGCTTCTGAGGAACTGCAGCATGGGCTGCTGGAGGAGAGCAGCACCGTGGTGAGCTGAGCGATTTGCAGGCACGACCGCTCTCCCACTGCTGTCTTTCAGGCCTGACCCTTTGGCCAGGTGAAAACTCGATTCATTTATTTTTTTCCTGATAGTAGATGAGGTCTCAGAGAGAGAGAGTGTGTGTGTAGACAAACTCTGGGACAAATCTCCATCAGTTTGTGTTCCTTAGTTATGCAAAATGTATTCGTTTCCAGCTGAATAGAGACACGCACATTTTCCCTCATCAGCCATTGGCAAGAGGTGAGGATGTGCTGCTGTGACCATCAGCTGTTCAGCTGGCACGTTTAAGATGCACTAAATTTAACTGCATTTGCAGAGAGACCTGTTTGGAATATTTCTCTGGAAATCTCCCCCGCTTGCCCCAGCCTCCCGTCTCTGAGCATCGCAGCTGATTGCCGGTGCTCCTGGGGCAGTGAAGCCGCCCAGGAAAGCAGGCGGCTTCCAGAGCGCTTAAATGGAGACCTGGTGTTTGCTGTTGGGTTTTCTAATGGCCTCAGGCAGACAAAACACTATTTCAGGTTCTCCATCTTATTTGAGCCTCTGAATTTCTTCCTTTCCGTTTAACCTTTTTGGCAGCTGTAAAACACAAATCCATTTTCCTTCCATCAGGCTTAGTTTGGTTAATTGACCTGCAGGTTTAGCTGATAAAGCTCCCTAAAACATTATACATTTTGCCATACTTAAACAAAAAGGGAAGAAATCAATACAGAGTCACATATAATGGGGCTACTTCTCATCTCAGAGTGAGATGTAATCTCTTGCGGTCTGAGCGCATTTGGTTTAGCACAAACACTGACCTTTCTTTGCCTTTGCCTCTCACCCCCTCCGTCCCCCCTTCCCTCTCCTGTCTGGATGCTTCAGCCCTGCAGGGACCAGCACGGCCAGGGCTGCTCCTGCTACTGCTGCAGGGAGCAGCCAGCCCCATGCCCAGGGCTCCAGGTCTACATCCCACCTCTCCTTCCCCAGGCAGGAGCACCCTGGCCTCGGGCTCTCGTCCTGCCTGTGCTGCTGTGAAGCTTTCAGGCACCTCTCAAAGGTCCAAGCACCAAATCTCCTGAACCCTGGGTATTTAAACGTTGGGGACTACAACCAGAGGAGACTAAATGGTGCACTGCTCTTTCCTCGTCATCTGCTGCTGAGCACAGACCAGACAGTGACCTGGGGCCGGTCCACTGTGGCTTTTCCTTGGTTGAGGTGATGGATATGCATGAGGGCAGCTGCACAGGGGTTTCTTGGCTCTCAGGAGCCTGCCCTCCCAACACCCTTGTAGCTGGGGTGCAAGGGGGGTGGTCTCGTAGCAGGGCTTTTATTCAAGACACTATTATTTCCAGACCCCTGGACCATCAGTGTGTGGGATGTCGTCTTCCAATAGGACTGGGTCCAGTCCCCTGACCTTCATCCTCACCGGCATCCCCGGTCTGCTGATGAGCAGCTACTGGATGGCATTGCCTCTCTGCTGCCTGTACCTCCTCATGCTCCTGGGGAACTGCACCTTACTCTGGATGATAAAGACAGACCACAGCCTCCATACACCGATGTACTATTTCCTCTCCATGCTGGCCACGGCAGACCTGGGCTTGTCTCTCTCCACCCTACCCACCATGCTGGCCATTTTCTGGTTTGAGTCCACCTCCCTCCGTTTTGAGGCGTGCATTGTCCAGATGTCCTTCATCCACTCCTTCTCTGCTATCGAGTCTGGGGTCCTGGTGGCCATGGCCTTCGATCACTTTGTTGCTATTTGCTACCCTTTGTGTTATGCCTCTGTCCTGACGAGCTCCCTGGTAATGAAGGCAGGGGGGGTGATCTTCATGCGGGGCATCTGTGTGGTGCTACCCATTGCCATCCTTATTAGGACGATGCCTTTCTGCAGGTCCCATGTCCTGTCTCACTCCTTCTGTCTGCACCAGGACATGCTGAGGCTCATTTGTGGGGATGTCAGGGTCAGCAGCTTGTACGGGCTGACTGCGGTGATACTCACCAAGGTCCTGGACTCCCTGACCATCCTCCTGTCTTACATGGCGATCATCAAAGCCACCTTGAACATCGTCTCCGAGGAAGCACAAGCCAAAGCCTTTAGGACGTGCGTCTCCCACCTCTGTGCCGTCCTGATCTTCTACATCCCGCTCATTGGCTTGTCCGTCATCCACAGGTTTGGGAGGCACCTGCCCCCTCACTCAGGCACTCCTGGCTGATGCCTATCTCCTGGTGCCGCCTGTCCTGAACCCGCTCAGGTACAGCTGGAAAACCAAGCAGATCCGCAGGAGGATCCTCATCCTGCTCTGTCAGAGAGGGACCCAGCAGCAGGTCTAGTCCCAGAGCAGCAATGCCCTGAAGCCAGTCTCCTCCTTCCTTTCCTCTCCAGACTGGTTGCTCACAGGCAATATCTTCTCCCAGAGAAAGTCACTCATGCCAGAAGAAACCTGTCACCTCTTCTGCAATACAGCTCTTTTCCTCTCCATGGAGGGATGGATTTTGGCAATTCATGTTGTTCCACCTCCCATTTTGGAATGCCCCGTTCTCAGAAAGCCTGCAAGAGGGCAGAGCTGGTGTGGCTGTGTGATGAAGCTGTCCTCCCTGCAGGTGGGGAGAGAGAAGACTGCTGAGAGCAGGCTTTCATCAAGGGATTCACTCTGAAGAAATACAATGTTGCCAGACTTGTGCTTTTAATTACAGTATCTCTATATCGGTCCATTATATGAAACTGTCAGTTCCCAGGGTTATGTGATCATATAGGCTCCTCAGATTTCATCATACAAATAATGTGATTCTTTACAGTTATGGAGGGTAGACAGGTACTAATGGCCTCGGGACTGTAACCTAAGGACACAAAATGAGAAAACTGAGTCCAATGTCATTGCAGGTCTGCAAGGGGAGTGTGTTGTTTTTACTGCCTCATGATATCGTCTGCTCTGCCTATAACATTTGGGAACATCATGAAAATCTCTCTCCACCTCCCAGGTTACGATCCAAATGAAGGCCGGCTGGTCTGGAACAGAGGTATAGGGTGCAACGGGCATGCAATGCAATCCAAACACATCCCGTGACACGTGGTGCTATTTGTATATTGCCACGTTTCCTTAGGGATGCATGTGATGTATAAGTGACATGCTTCGTACCCGGGCTGGCTGAGCTGCCCCTTTCAGAGCATCAGGCTGTCATTAGGGAGCCTCCACCCTGTCCCAAGGCAATCTACCTCCTGATTAACCACCCTTGTCATTGTGTAAAATAATCCTGCCTGCAAGCCAAATCCCTGTGACTTCGTCATGTCTGCAGGGTCATACCAAACCATTTCCTCCTTTCTGCCCCCAAATCAGTGCCTTCAGTCTTCCTCGTGGGCTGTTCTCCTCCTCTGGGCTATCTCAGCCCAACCTCATCCCAGCAGCTGTGTGGTCAAGAAGGAGGGAGCAGGGTGAAAAGGAGGAGAAAGAGAAACCATGACCTTGCAGATGAGGGGACAGCAGCCCCCATCTCATGGGAGAGAGCGTGCTGCAGTGACGCTGTGAGCAGCACTCGTGCTGGGGAGGGATGAAGGCAGAGGAAACCACCGATTTCAGTGCAAGCACTTGGCAGGGTCCGTGTCCAGCCGTGCAAAGAAGAGCTACAAGGTCAGGATCAGGACTGGAGCTTGGGATGCCCTGGCCAGCTGTTAGCAGGTCCCAGCTAACTGGGAGGTGCTGCACACTGCAGGGATGTGCTGGAGAGCTTTGTAGTGGGGGAAAAAAATGGTGTTTCTCTTTAGTTTTTTATTTGTTTCCCACCCACCCCCTACAGCTCCAAAAGCTGCTTTGGTAAATGTATTGAGCACTTCTCCCAGCTGTCCTAGGTGCTGCTGTGGAGGATCTAAACGGCAAGGATCAGTGGCCTGGAAGGGAGTTAGGTGCTTTTTTTGGCAAGCATGAGAGAGTTATGGGAGAATTGTACCTGGGTTTTTGTTTTTCATCAGGGGAAGGAAATGCTCCATCTCTTCCACGGTCTCTCAGGTACTGTCACTGGGAGGTGCCAAGCAGTAAAACCAGCAAGAACTCATGGGTGCCGCTGTACATGCTGCCAAGCATCATGTCAGTCAGATGCTGGGAAGGGACTGGTCTCTGCAGGAGGAAAGACTGTACTCCATGCAAAAATAAAGGTGGATGCAAGGCAAATGTGGGTGTTTAACGTGCAGACTCTGGGCCTCATAGCTGGGAAGCTGCCAGAAGTCGCTGCTGTATTTTTCCAAGGGTCTGTAAAGTAGAAGTCTGAAAACAGGGTGTTTGTGCCTGTCCATTTGAGCCTGCTGAAATTGTCAAGCTGCTCCGATCTGCCAACAAGAGGTCAGAAGCTGGGGACCCAACCACGTAGACCTGAGCGCTCAGCAGTGTTACGCTGTGCAATAACCACAGGCATGTTGTTGTGTGAGCATATGAAGGAGCAGTTTGTCTTGTGCTTGAATGTTTTGTTAAATCCAGTGAGTCAGACTGGGCAAGCCACGGGGAAGAGTAAATGTTGCTGTAATCAGCTTGTGGACAGTGGGGAGCAGCTCCCTGAGGTACCAAGCAGTTCCCTTGGAGGTTAATGCAGCTGATGCGTGTCAGCTGCTGACAAATCCCTCGGCTGTTTTGAACAAATTGCCTCACAGGCGAAATCCACAACTGGGTTAAACTACGAGGACTTCACCCATTTCAGCCAAACAGTGCTGATTGATACGGCAGCTCTGAGTCACCCGTGCATCTCCTTCCAGGGACAGACGTGATATGACAGTTTGTCCATCTGGCACTAATGGGGCCTCCTGGAGGTGGTCTTTCATTCAAGAATAGAGCGCAGCGAATGCATTGCAGTCCTGAAAGGTCTGTGTGATGCTGAGTAATGAAATTCATAGTAATTTGAGTTTGTATTTATCCTAAAAACATCTCACCCACTTTACGGAGTAACGTGGCCAGGTACCTCGCTGCCTCTTGATTTAGGTTTGCAACATGAAATGTACTACCTTGAGGCTTGCATGCGTTCGCCATACCGGCAGCTCCACCTAAACCCAGCTATTCTCCAGCTGTCTCTGAGTCACAGAGATTTGCCAGCTTCATTTAATAATTGACAGGACCACACGTCTTCCTAACGTTTGCTGTTTGCTTTTCTATGTTTGACTTTCCATTGATGGCGCCAAAAGTAATAACATACATACCAATTTTTCTACAAGTGCTTTCCACCTGTCGATCCCTTTCTCTTATCTGCATTTGTTCAGCCCTGTACCTACATACCCCATTTGCCGTCACAAAATTCCCTTTTGCCAGCAAACAGTGTACGTTGTCAACTTCTACTTTACACCAGCACCTTCACAGCCTGGTAAGTACAGTAGCTCTGATGATGCTACACAGGGATGTGGAAATAAATGATGTCCAGACACTGCCTCACTCGCTTCTTATTCTGGTCAACATTTGTGTTTGGTACCAATCTCATATTTTAGTTGGGTGTGTAACTTTCCTACTGAAATAGCTAACCACGCACAGCCCTTGCAACAGATTCAGCTGGTTTTCTATTAAGAGGTTTCACAGGGGTTTTCTTCCAAGAAAGGGGGAAGGCTCTCTGCAGCAGCACAGCTTTCTTACTAGCAAAACCTCATCTGCTCTGCAGGACAAAAAACTGGGCTCTAACTACGAAGTTAAAGGAGTCTATAGACAAGCTCTGAAACTGGGTCAGATCTGGGATACTCTGCTGCATGCCACTGAGATATTTGGGGAAATTTTCTTTTTATTGTTTTTACTAGCAACCACCTCTGCTTATGCATCTCGGGATTTCACCATTATCAGGTCCTGTTAAGTTCCAGGGAACTTTGTAGCAAGTCAACATGAATGGGGTGATCCTGAGAAGGGTTACATGTTCATTGGGAAAGTTTGTTTTATCTTTGGAATTGGACGTGGACTAATGTTCTGATCTAGTTTAAGACGACAAAATCCTCTGTTTATGCCTCCATACCCATATGTTTGGACATCACCGGACAGAGCAGTTTTAGCTCCATGTAAACAAATTTCACACATTAATCTCAACCTTGAGAATGAAGTAGATCATGGTTGAGGCCAAAATGAATTGGACATTTTAAGTACACTGGGACACCATAAAAGGTCTTTTCAAAGTGCTGAGGAATAACTCCAAAAATCCAACTTCTGAATTTCCCTAGATTCAGCTCTGCATTCAGTGTCTCAAATTTGGGACTACATGTGGGCCCGGGGTCCAAGCTCCCACACAGTCAGAGGTGGCAAGTCAATGCAGTCTGTGGAGCACCTCTCTAAGGTAAGCTGAGATGCTCTGTAGGTTCAGACAAGGAAACTTCAAACTAAATCCCACCCTTGAAACTACATCCTAGGTAATGAACCCTTCATCTTAAATTTCACCTGGTAGGTGTGACCCATTGGAGGTGTTTATAGCTCTGTAGGTCATGCATGAATAAACCCTCAGCTTTTGACCCATAAGTGTCATTCAAGAAGCTCAAGTTTGTCAGTCAGGTGGTTGGCTATGCTGGGTGGGTTTAGGATTTGCAGGATAATCCTAGTCTCCAGCTGTGGGAGAAATGAGGCATTGTGGGTGCTGAGGCTGACCTCGCTGGATAATGCAGGGACCCAGTCAGCCCATGCCTGGGACCTGCTGCCCACTGTCACCACAGGATGGCTCTCCCATGTACTCCTCCTCCTCTTGGCACCTTGGTTAAGCATGGGGAGTCTTGTGATTCTTAACCCTACTGTTGTGTCTCTTCTTGCAGGGAGGGGGAGTTTATCCAGCCTCATTTAGAAACCCGTGAACCCACTTCAGTGTGAGGGATGGACCAGATGACCTCTTCAAGTCCCTTTTGACCAAATTGTCTATGATTTCTAGGAGTAGCACAGAATGGACAGCATAAACCTGCAGCATCATGGCTCTGACGGTCCTTAGGGCACTTGGTTAGGTATTTATCTCTGCTTCTATTGCAGGGTACTGCGTTACTGACTCTGGGCTATGGCATCCAGAAACTATTGCCCAGCAACAGCAGCATCTCTAATCATCAGACATCCATCCTGATGGGTGCCAGCGACATTTCTGTCCAGCCTCTGTGCTCTAATCTCCTTAGACTCGCTAGAAACTCTACATTCTCTGTATTGCAAAGGTGAAGAGAAGCTTCCATGCACCCAGATATATTTTGCATTTGTGCAAGTCCTCACAGATCTGATACTGCCAGCCATGCCAAGCCTGATTTGCTCTAATTCCATGGAAATTGCCCACTGCACTCCCCACATCTTCTTCCTCAATGAGGTTAGGTTGGCTGTGTGTCCCTACCGCAGTGCTCTTCAGTGAATTAACCAGACTGA